AGCTGTGCTCTACTCTCTAAAGAGGTGCTTATGGTACATGTGCCCACATGCCGAGGAAAGTGTTGAACACAGGTGTCGGAGTCCATGGAAAGGCAAAAGTGCACGGGACAGGAAGGAGGGGCCAAAAGCAAAGAAAGTTTTGGAACAGGAATGGCACCTGGTTTTCCTTCAAGAATCACCAAAGACTCAAAAACTAGTGAGACCCATTTAACACCTGGAAGTGAGAAAACTGAAGCCTGGAGGAAGGCACACCTGAACTAAACCACACGACCACGGCAGTAGATACAGAAGTGCACTGGAGACTCCCCACACACCCCTTCGCCCACAATATTCAACAAGCTAGGTGTGGCAGCTCGCCTCTGTATTCCCAGTGCCTGGGAGGTAAGAACTCCAAATCTGGCTACAAAGCAAGAACCCAACTGCAAAGTTAAAAAAAAAAAAAAAAAAGTGTGGGTGTGGCTCAGTAGCAGGTGGAGCAGAAATTCAAGGTCATCCTCAGCAACATAGACTCGTCTGCCTGGGAGGGAACGTCCTTAGCGCTTCATACAGGCATCTTGACAAGCCCACAGGTGAAAAGACCAAATGCTCCCCAAGAGCGGAAAGAACAGGACAAGACAAGACAGCAGTGTTATCTGACACTGTCCTGAAGTTCCAGGCAGAGTTATTGCTCAAGGAGGAAAAGGCATATAGACCGGAAAGACAGTAGTAATAAGGCAACCTTTACTCTCGGCTGACAGGACTTCATACACAGAATATCCTAAAGCACAATCGAGAATGGTAAAAGGTAATAAATGCAGCAAAGCAACAGGGTGCACAGCCACACAAAGCCAGCTGTACTTGTACATGCCGGCAACGAACAAGGTCAAGTAGAATTAAGAATCCCTTCCACAACAGCATCAAAGGCAAAATAGCCTTGAAAATTCAACCACCCAAGGGCAGAACCGGGCACTGAAAGGCACGAAGAAATGTAAGAAGTCCAAGACCAGTATTTTGACAAGCAGTGCTGCCCCAGGGATGTACAGATGGACTGTAACCCTTGTCAATACCCCAAGGGCCCTTTCTACGGCCCTGGAAAAGCTGTTCCTCATTGCACAGAACTGCAGAAGGTTCCAGAGAGCAAGTAAGTCTGGAAAGGGAGCTGAGGAGTAACAATTTCAAAATCCACGGCAAGCCAATGTGATCCTGGCATACAAGCAGACATACTCCAACACAATGACATACAGGGTCAAAGGTAAACCTTATATCTGGGGCCAACTGACAAAGGGAGAAGGGAGAAAATGACTCTACAACAGTCAAGCTTCCATGGGAAGAATGAAGTCAGATGTCGTAGCCCACAATAAACTCACAACAGAGCAAGACCCAAATATACCAGAAAAACTATCAAACTTTTCAAAACAACGCATACTGACAAGTCTTCAGGATCTGGGGTTTGCAATGTGCCCACCTAAAGAAAAAAAGCAGATAAAAAAAAAAAAAGCAGAAAAAAAAAAAAAGCTTTATCACTTTGAGCATTAAAAATGCGCATGAGACAGGGGTGGGTGAATCTCTAAAGTTTGAGAGAGCCTGATCTACATAGTGAATTCTAGATCAGACAAGGCAAGGTGGCACACGCCTGTAATCCCAGCACTCAGAGAGGCAGAGGCAGGAGGATCTCTGTGAGTTGGAGGCCAGCCTGGTCAGGAAATCCAGGACAGCAAAGGCTATAAAGAGAAACCCTGTCTTGAAAAACAAAAAAGCAGTATAAAAAAGATGGTCATGGCTGGCAAGACGGCTCAGTAGTGAAAGCACCTGCAGCACAAAAAATCAGGATACACGTGGAACTGACTCCACAAAGTTGTCCTCTGACTTACACACACACACACACACACACCCATATATACCACACACAAATAACAATTATGGGGACATGTCAAAGGTGAAACAACCATCATAGCAAACACCAGTAATGCCAGTGCTCAGGAGGCTGAGGCAGAAGGACCATGAGTTTGCAAGTAGTCTGAGATTATGGTGAAATGCTATCTCAAAGAGAGACAGAGACAGAGACAGAATGGTATTTGCATGTCATGTATGTGTCTGATAAGGGTCTTGTGTCCAGAATGTATAAACAACCCCATAACTCAACAAGACAGTCTAATTAAAAAAGGGATAGGCTAGCTAGGCATGGTAGAGCACACCTTTAATCCCACCACTTGGGAGGCAGAGGCAGGTAAACTTTGAGTTCCAGGCCAGCCTGGACTACACAAAAAGAAAGAAAAAAGGGAGAGAGGGAGGAAGGAAAAAAGAAAGAAGGGAAGGAAGGAAGGAAAGATAAGAAAGAAAGAGAAAGAAGGAAGGAAGGAAGGAAGGAAGGAAGGAAGGAAGGAAGGAAGGAAGGAAAGGAAGGAAGAAAAGAAAAACAAAGAAAGATAGGGACAGAACAGGCATCTCTCCAAAGACATACAGATAGCAATAATCCACACAAATCACTGTGTCATCTGGGAAATGCAGATCAAAGTCAAGGATACACTTCACACCCACTGAGGTGGCAGGGTGGGCAGACGGAAGGAAAACAAGTATTGCCAAAGATATAGAGAAAGTGGGCCTCTCCCACATTGTGGGTGGGAGTGTAAAACATGCAGCCATTTCAGAAAAGCAGTCTGGATGCTCTGAACAAGGTTAAACATAGAATTACCATGTGACCCAGCAATTCTACTCCTAGGTCTATACTCCAAGAATTAAAAACAGGTGCTCTGGGGCTAGAGCCATGGCCCAGCCAGGAAAGAGTTGGAAACACAAGCACAGACTTGAGTCTGATCCCCCAGGACCCACGGAAAAAGCTGGGCACAGCAGCCTGCAACCGTAATCCTAATACTGGAGAGACAGAGACAGGAGGATCTCTGGAGATTGTTGGCCAGTCAGTTTATGCCAAATTCACGAGCCTTGGGTCCCAGTGAGAGACACTGTTTCAAAAACTGTGGTACTGCATGCCTTTAATACTAGCTCTTGGGAGGCATAAGCAAGGGAATCTTGAGTTTGAGGCCAGCCTGGTCTACAGAACCAGGCCAGCATGGGCTACATAGTGAGACCCTGTCTTGAAAAAAAAAAAAAAACAAATCAAAACAAAAACACAAACGTAGAAAATGATTGAGATAGGCACCCAACATTAACTTTGGGCCTCCACATGCTCGAAAACACACACACACACACACACACACACACACACACACACACACACACACAGAGAGAGAGAGAAATAGATGGTCAAGTCTAAACTTGTTCCCATCTTCCAAGCAGCACTAGTTAAATAATCCAACAGGTGGAAACAATCCAAATGCCTACTGATGTGGATAAACAAAATTTAATAGGGCTTTCGAGGTGGTTCAGTGGGTAAACCTGCCTGCTAACAAACCTAAAGGCCTGAGTTCAGTTCCCCAGGACTCATACAGGTGAAGGAGACAAGTGACTCCCGGAAGATTGTCCTCTTAACCTCAGCAAACAAACACGCACACGCAAATAAAATGTAATAAAAAATACAGTGGGAAACAACTCAGCCACAGAAAGGAATAGAATAGAGACATATGCTACCTGGCATAGAGGAGCCTTAAATGAGATAACCAGAACAGGCAAATCCACAGGCTGTAAGCAGAGCGGGAGCTGATGGACAGGGAGGAAGAGAACAGGAGGGACCGCTTGCTGGGAACTGGGTTTCCCTTCAGGGTGAAAAGCTAATGGAACTAGGTAACGATGATGGCTGCATATAACACTTGTAAACAATTTAAAGTGGAAATTTTCATCACTCAGAAGAGAGCGAGCGAGAGAGAGAGAGAGAGAGAGGGAGCAACAGCAACAGCTGGCCACCTTGAATTCATCTCCTTTCTGCTCTCTCCCAAAAGGACCAAAGGGTAAATAAACTGAGGCTGCCAACCTTCAGGAACTAAAAAGTATCTCTTCAAATCTCTGGCACAACTTCAAGTGAGGGCACGGTAGTAGGGCACACCTGTGATCCCAGCAATGGGGAGTTGGAAGCACAGGAGAGCTGGATTTCAGCTAAGGGCCTGCCTGAGCTACCAAAGACCTGGCCAAAACAAAGACAAAGACCAAAAGGTAAAGCAGAAGAAGAGTCCTCTTAAACCCTCAGGTGATTGCAGCAAGGGCTCAAACGTATCACCCACAGCCTGCACAGTATAAAAGTGCAGGCCTGAGCCCCGCATTGGTGGCACACCCCTTTAATCCCAGCGCTCGGGAGGCAGAGGCAGGCGGATCTCTGTGAGGCCAGCCTGGTCTACAGAGCAAGACAGAACTCATAAAATGAAAAGAGAAAAGAAGGAAGGAAGGAAGAAAATGAGGCTGGGGCCCAGAAAGGAGAAAAGAGTTCTGGAGAGACCTCAAATGTGCAACAGTCGAGTTAAAGTGCGACCCCGCTGAGCTAAAGGGCCGCTAAAACCTAATCAGGCGTCTGTCCCAAGAAGGCGCGAGGCGCACACTGCAACTCACAGCACACGCGGGAGCAGCAAAGTTCCCGCGGCTGAGGGCCACGGTCCCCGGCTGCAGCCAACAAAGCTCCAGCGGGCCAGCCTCGGTAGCGCCCTGTGCTGGGAGCCGAAGGCAACCGGCCCGGCACAGGCAGCAGGTGTAGGGTGCCCAGGCCGGGGCCTCCCCACCCGGCCCGTGCCCTGCCCCGCACCTGCCAACACCTGCGCCCCGGGAGGGCGCCGGGGCGCCTCGACCCGTAGCAGGAGACCCCGGAACCCAACACGCCAGGGGTCCGGGGCGAACGGGGACCGGAGTGCCAGGGCACACGGGACACCGGACTCAGGGCGCGGGGAAGCGCGGCCTGGCAGCGCGAAGGGCGTCACGCGCGTCGTGGCCGGCTGGCGGTTCCCCCTCCGGGCCGTCCCCGCCACCTACATCCCGGCCGACCCTGAGACAGTCCCCCGGTGCCCGCGGCACCACCGCGCTGCGCCCCACCACTCCCGGTCCCCCGCCCACTCGTCCCCCGAAGCCCGCTGGCCGCAGCTCACCTGCCTCGCGCCGCCGCCTCAGGCCTCGTCCGCGCCGCTCAGGCCGGGCACCGGAGACTCTCCACGGCCACAGCCAATCGCGCGCCGCGCCGGGGTCGGAGGCGGGAGCGACGCGAACGTCCGTCAATCCCCAGGCGCGGCTCCTCAAGCTCCAGACCAATGGGAAGGCGTCTGTCCCGCCGCAGCCCGCAAGGGGCGGGGAGAGGGCGGGACCTGAGCGTCAGTGGGCGGGGCGGGCGCGCCGGGACTTGAGGGGCCGCGCCTAGGGAGGAGCCGCTTCTCGAGTAGCGTTAGGATTAGGGTTCCGTGCGGAGCCTTCCCCGCTGAGTTCCACGCAGGGTTTCAGTGCACCCGAATACCCGGTTCCTGCAGAAGGTGCCCTGGACTCCCGGCACCTCTTCTCCTCTGTTGCCCAGGTGCAGCGTTTGGAGGAAGCCCTGACGCCCTGCCCTACGGGCGGGAAGCCAGGCCTCCCCTCCCTGGGGACTCCGCCCGTCCTGGCCGTCTGTTGCTTGCGCAGTTTTTGCAACTACTGTTTAATTGCATTTGTTTTGTTCTGTTTGTAGGCAGGGTTTCACTCTGTAACCTTGACTGGCCTGGCACTCTACACGTAGACCAGGCTGGCCTTTTTCTCGTAAAGATAAGCCTGCCTCAGCGTTGCTGGAATTAAAGGCGTGGGGATACCACGCCCCACTTTTTATTTTTTTCCTTTTTTTAGACTGGGTCTTACCGTGGCCTGGAATTCCCTGTGTAGCCCAGATTGACCTCCAGTTCGCAGCAGTCCTGCCTTGTCCTCCCAAGCAGTGGGATGACTACCATATGCCACCAGTAGCTGGCTCTCTCTTATTTAAAAACTGTGTGTGGGTGCCTGCGAAGGCCTCTCCGGTCCCCTGGAGCTAGAAGTGGACACTGACAACCAACGGACAGTGTTCTGAATGACCAGCCAGTGCTCTTAATGGCGTTAATGGCTGAGCCATCTTTCCAACAAACTTGGCTTTACACGTTTTTAAAGTTAGTTTGGTTTTGTTTTTTACACAGGGTCTCTGTATGCTGCCCTAGCTATGTTGATTGGCCTGCCTCTGCTGGGATTAAAGGCATGCACTACCATGCCTGGCTCATTTTACACTCTAAGAAAGGGTCTTGAGCTGGGAAGATGGATTATTTAGTTAAGTGCTTGCATACATACACAGGGTATCACTCTGATGCCCTAGTTTGGAATGCCTAGTTTTCCATCCCAGGACTGGGATTACAGGCGTGAACCACCACACCCAGCCTGCTCCTGACTCTGGATAGTCACTCGTGCTGCCTGCGCTGGCCTCCTTGTATGGCAAGTGTTAGGCAATGTATTGATTTGCTCCACTGGCAAGTTGAGGGACTTTTCTGTAATAGATGTTAGAGGGCTTCAGGCCACAAGGATTTTTGTGGCAAACATTTAAATCTGCTATTAGTAAAGTGGGTGGGTTTGGCTGGGCAGCTGGCTGGCTCCACAGGCCCAAGGCTCTGTGGCTGGCTGAACCCTGGGCCAGCTGCGGGACGTGTGGGTTTTGTCAGTTAGAAGCTGTTATGAATGAAGCTCTTGTGCATTCAGAGGTAGGGCCTTGTGGCTATTTGGCTTAGTTTTGTCTTTTTTGGCTTCTCTCTCTTATTTTTTTTAGGTGTATACATGTTTGCTTACATTCTATATTTGCATTATGTGTGTGCCTAATGCCCACACAGGTCAGAAGCAGCATCCCATCCCCTAGAACTCAAGTTACAGATGGCTGTGAGCAACACTGAGAGATGTTTTGTTTTTTGTTTTCTTTTGTTTTGTTGAGACAAGGAGGTCTCTCTGTGTAGCTCTGGCTGTTCTGGAACTCGGTATGGAGGCCATGCTGGCCTTGAACTTACAGAGATTCACCTGTCTCTGCCTCTTGATTCACAGATTCAAAGCATAGACCACCACACCCAGCCTCTTTTTTACTTTTTTTTTTAAGTAGGGAATCAACACTGTAGCCCAGGCTGGTTTCTTGATCCTCCTTCTGCCCCCACCTCTCAAGTCCTGAGATTACAAGTGTTAACCCCCACAATTGGTAATTTTCCTTTTTTAATCAGTTCATTTTTCTGTTTTTTTTTTTTTTGACACAGGGTCTACTGTAGCTGGTCTTATTAATATGGATCCCTCACCCAAGCTCTACCTTTGAAGTGCTGAAATTAAAGGGCACTCTGCCGCATTCACTTTAAGCAGTGCTGGTGATTGTTCTCAGGGCCTTGGGCATGTTGGTCACTCCCCCAGCTCTGTATATCACCAGCCAGTTTTGGCTCTTTATTAGCAGGTAGGTCTGATGACTCGGTCCTGTCATCCCAGCCATCTGGGTGGCTGATGTAGGAGAATCCCAAATTCAAAGCCTGGGCAATTTAGTGAGACCTGGTGACTGGTGCTAATGGCATTGCTGTCCTTGGTGCAAACACAAAGCTTCAGCTGCATGAGAGGTTTCCTATGATTGGTACAGATACCCTTCCTTTGGCAATATAGGCAGGCTGTAGGGCTCACATGGCAGGCCAGCTGGGGACAGCCAGTCAGCCTGGGCCATGGTCCTGTGTTGCTATGATGTCACAGTAAACCCAGGAAAAAGCTGCTCCCACTGGTCATCTCTTGCCTGCTTTACATAGCACAGGCTGAATGTGGAGACAGAAGCTGTGGAGCGGCACTGACGGTAGTGACAGCACAGCCTGGTGCATGGAGCCTCAGAAGCGGTAGAGTGGGCAGAAGCCGCTTCAGACAGATGTAACCGTGACAGAAGCTGCAGCAGTAAGAGGAACCTGAACTGAGACGCAGGGAGCAGCCAGGGCAGGGAGAAAACGGACTGAAGTAGCCCAGGGAGGGTGGAGACAGGAGGCTGAAAGAGAGAAGCCTGCAGTGAACCAGAGAAGGGAAAGGGAAACCACAGGCCAAGGTAGCAGGAGATGTTCCAGAGAGCTACTCGGGCGCTGGGCCAGGGTCCCTTTCACTACACGGCAAGAGCTACAGTTCTGGCTGTTGTAGAAAGTTGTGGAATTCTAATACCCAGGCCTCCTAGAAACTACAGCTCCAGCCGCTGCCAGGGATGGAGGAATTCCAACTTCTAGGTATATGTATAAGAGCTATCACAGACTAGCTATGGTAGCACATATTGGAAATCTCAGCCCTTGGGAGCTGGAGGCCACAGCGAGAGGAGTTGAAGGCCAGTCTCTGTTATTTGAGCTCTTGTCTGTCTCTCTTTCTTTCTTCTGGCTTTTTTTTTTTTTTTTTTTTTTTTTTTGAGACAGGGTTTCTCTATGTTGCCTTGGCTATCCTAGAACTCACTCTGTAGACCAGGCTAGCCTCAAATTCAGAGATCCACCTGCCTCTGCTCCCCCCCCCCCATCAAGTGCTAGGATTAAAGGCATGTGCCACCACTGCCAGGCTGAGCTCTTTTTTCAAAAAGGCAAAGACAGACAACAAAAGCTGTGATAATTACAGCCTGCAGGACCTGCTGCCCCTCAGAGTGACCTGCAATAGTGGTGGACATCCTGGGTTGCTATTTTCTGCTGACAGAACTGTAGCCATCACCCAAACCAACACCTTTCTTTCTGTTTGTCTTTCTCTTTTTTCTTTCTTTTTTTGAGACAGGGTCTCATGTAGTCCAGGCTGGCCTTGAATTTCCGAGGATGACTTTGAACTTCCCTCCTCCCAGATCCTGGGATTACAGATTTGTGCACCGCCACCACTGCTTTAAGGAGTGTTGGAAATGAAACCGGTGCTTCTCTGTGCCGCTGAGAGCTACACTCTGCCTCCACCCCAGCCTCCGGCCCATTCTTTTGTAGTTTTAGTTTTTATTTTTTTCCTTTTTAGAGCAGCATTGGAGTAGCTTGCGCTTGCTCAACACTGCCGGCTGACTGGTGAGGATAGTACCGGTGAGCTTAAACCTGGCACCAGATCAGTCTTTCAGGGGTAAACAGAACCTGACTCCCATAGTGAGGAGGCTGAGAAACCTGAGCTGGAAGCTTCCAGCCTCTGGAGCAGCTGCCGCAAGGAAGTCAGAATGCTGGGAGGGCAGAGACCAAGCCCAGGGAATCCCTGTCTCTCAAGGAAGCAGTTGGACTTCCCTGCTTGCTGGGTCCCCCCTCCTTCCTTCTGCTTCCTGCTTTGGGCAGGAGGCAGCACCGCAAAGAATTTTTTTTTTTCTTTCTGCTGTTGGAGGTTCCCTGCAGAGGCTGAGGGCATTTCCTAGTCCCAGTGAGGTTCTGGGTGTGGCAGGGAGGGGCACAGTAACAAGTCAGGGTTGAGACAAATCTAACCTTGACAGTAGTTCCAAACCAGCATCGAGAAACGCCCCTCCACAGAGGACACACACACACACACACACACACACACACACACACACACACAGGACTGTGGTTCAGATAAGCAGTAAGGGCCTCTGCTGAACACACTAGCACCCAGAGCAAACATCAGACAAAACCCCACACAAAGATCATGACTGGTAGCGATCCAGCGCCTAAAACGAGCTCCAGGAGACTGGAGCCACACCCCCAGCCTGTCACTAGGCGATTTTAGTAAGTGCTCTACTGCAGGACCACACCCTATTCTTGTTTTTAAATTATTTCTTTATATTATCCTTTCTCTCAAACGTTTACATGAATTCCAGAGGTAGAACTGATACCATCCAGGCACATACTTTTAATACCAGCACTTGGGGGGCGGATACAGGCAGAATTCTGAGTTCAATGCCAGGCTGATCTGTGTAATGAGTTCTTACTGATTCAAAACAAAAACACAAACAAAAAGAACTGGCTGCTTACTAAGCTTGTAGAGCAAGGACTTGCTAAACTGTCTCACAGGCCTCAGTGCTTGAGAGTCTAGGCTGGCTCCTTTGCCAGGAAATAATAGGTACAGCCCTCTTTTTTTTACCTTTTTTTTTTTTTTTTTTTTTAATTTTGAGACAGGGTTTCACTAAGTTACTCAGGCTGGCCCAGAACTCACTCTGAATCCCAGGCAGAACTTCAGCAGGTGATCCTCCTAACACAGCCTTCCAAGTAGCTGGA